CCAAGGATGATGAAGAGAGATTCATTGTAGTAGAATTTTTTAGTGATAAGAAGGGCCTATAATAACTTTATTCCCTGGAAGGGGAGGGGATAGGAGGGTAGGAATTCAGTGGGAATTTTTTTTCATTTGTTTCGAAAACTAAAATGACACTCCAAGAAACTATAAGTATGTGAAATCTTTATACTCTGTTCTTTAAATTATTTCCTATCTAAAAATAGGATCACAAGAAGTTGGAGCTTTACATTTCCATATGAATGGTGATGGCAACCACAGAATTTAAGTTCTTTTTGGTTCTTTAAGTGTTCTCAGTCTTAGCTTAGCAGGATGCAAGGACTGCCCAGTAAATACAATAACCCATTTTACACTTTCTTTACCACTTGAGTCCTATACAGTCAAACCATTGTAGTCTCAGAAACTACCTTGATATCTAAATTGGTTTAATGTTTAAGCCAACCTGAATAAACTTTCTCATTGCTTGCCAATATTCATGTTCATTGGTTTTAGTAGTACAGGAGAATGCATGAAAGCTAACTATTGATTCTTTTTTCTACATAGTCAGCTAAAAACCTCTTTCCTTTGTAGTTTTTCCAGTCTTCATTTCTTCCCTCTCCACCCCCTCCAAAATACAGACACAGGAAGGAAACAATGAGGAAGAGGGGGGGGGGCGGTGGTGGAAAGAAAGATTCCATCTAAAAGTGTTTTGTGGCTGGACTTATTTCTTTTCTTTTCTCTTTTAAAAAACATTTATTTTTTAGTTGTAGGTGGACACAATACCTTTATTTTATTTTTATGTGGTGCTGAGGATTGAACCCATTGGCTCACGCATGCTAGGTGAGCACTCTACCTCTGAGCCACAACCCCCACCCAGTGGCTGGACTTCTTTCAATAAGAGATTCCTATCTGTCAGATTGCTTTTTAATTATTATTTTTGAGTTGTGGGATATTATATAATGCATTTTTTTCTTACTGAAGCTTTATAATGTCTTGATATCTTATGTAGTTCTAACTTTTCAATTTCAAAACTGTCTTGGCTTTTATTGGCAATATACATTTTCAATGTTTGTTTTTTGTTTTTTAATTAGTTGTACATTGCAGTAGAATGCCCTTTGACACATTATATACAAATGGAGCACAACTTCTCATTTCTCTGGCTGTACATGATGCAGAGTCACACCAGTAGTGTAGTCACACATGTAAATAGAGTAATAATATTCATCTCCTTCCACTGTCCTTCCCACTTCACACCCACTCCCCTCTGCCCAATCCAGAGTTCCTTTATTCTTCCCCTACACGGGCCCCCCGCCCCCATTGGCATTATGGATCAGCATCCATTTATCAGAGAAAGCATTCTGGCTTTGGTTTTGGGGATTAGGCTTATTTCACTTAGCATGATATTCTCCAGCTCCATCCATTTACCTGCAAATGCCATAATTCATTCTTCTTTAAGGTTGAGTAATAGTCCATTGTTATACAATGCATTTTAACTTAAAGAAAACAATTTAACAATTGTGACTTGTCTAATTTTCCATTTAATTGGTTGCTTTACTGTTTGTGAGGATTTGTTAAAAGCTTGTTCCTGTTTCTTAAGCTCAGTAAAAGAAATAAATGACATTTATTGATCAACTATAATTATCATTTAGTTATGGTTAAGGTAAATTTGTGGATCAAAATGTAATCTAGCTCATTTCTAAGCCATAAGAACCAAATTTAAAAAAGAACTACTAAATGAGTTATAACCAGTAAGAATTAAATCAGTTTTTATTGTTCTGGCTATATGTTGTTAAAGTTACATAAATATAAATGAACCTAAATGTTTTTTTCTGTCCAATCTGAGATTTGTTAGTGATATTAAAGTATAAAGTCTTCATAACATTTTTTTTTTTTTTGGTACTGAGAATTGAGCTCAGGGCCCTTAACCACTGAGTCACATCCCCAGCCCTATTTTGTATTTTATGTAGAGACAGGGTCTCACTGAGTTGCTTAGCACCTCACTTTTGCTAGAGCTGGCTTTGAACTTGCTGTCCTCCTGCCTCAGCCTCCCAAGCCACTGGTATTACAGGCGTGTGCCACTGCACCTGGTACTTATTTCTATTTTACAAGGTAAAATGCTAGTTTTTTGGCAACAGAATCACTTAGAAGCCAATTCATTTGTTACCACAGGCCAGTCTTCCAAGCATTGTCAGCTGTTTCACAAATAGACATTTTTCATCCATAGAGTGAGTGAAAGAGGAAGATGGCTTGGAATAAGCGTTTAACACCTAGTGAAACCTACTGCCTTTCACCAAAGAGGTGTGCACCATGGGGCGTGATTCTAATAGTGGGAATTTACCCGCCGGAGTCAGGTGTTTAGGCCCTTTTACTTCACCTCTGGCCTCATTGAAATGATGGCTAGCAAAACCAACCCCACCTTATGCTTTTTGTTTTAATATTGTAATCAAAGTACTCATTGGAAGAGCTCAATAATTTCGTTCCAGATCAAACTGGGTCTCTAGGCAATAAGTATTATTGTTAGATGTTTCACTTTCTGTCTAATGACACTGGCTTCCGTCCATAGAAATCAAGGGTTATGACAATTCAAACACATTTTATTTACCCATTACAATAGATGGCACTAATCAAGACAGAATACTTTCTTTAATTTTTAGTTGTTGATAGACCGTTATTTTATTTATTTATATGCAGTGCCGAGAATCGAACCCAGTGGTTCACACGTGCCAGGCAAGTGCACTACCACTGAGCCCCAGCCCCCAGAATATTTTCTTAAGTAAACTAGTAACCTCATTAGGCTTGTAAGTAGATGTACTGAACAGAATCAGAGTTCATGTCCAATTTTCCATTCTGTTGTGAATATTAGCCTTTATTTTTTGAAGGGTGAATAGATAAATACACAAATACTTTCCAAAACCATATGAATGTGGTTTTAAAATGATCTAGGTTAAGATTTAATAGTAGAGAGATGACATTGCAGTAATATGCTTTCTGTACTTTTATGCCTCCATTGTCTCTGCAAACTCTCTTCACCCATTCTATCCCAGTCCCCTATTTACGTTGTGTTTGTCATTTGCTAGCTTGTGAGCACGTTGAGAACAGAGATGGAAGGGTCTTTTCCACCTTTGTGTCCCCCACACCAGGTATAATGAAGCACAAAATGTGGAGATTGCACAGTCAATGTGAATTGAATGAGTGAATGAATTAATGATCAGCCAAATTAAAAGATGGTATTTTTGTGCACATGATTTCTAATCCTTATTGAGAGCTTATAATTCATCAAAAGGATATTAAGAGACTGGCAATATCTCTGGAATAGAAGAATAAATGTCAGCACTGTATATCTCCCACATGAAGCATCAGGATCCAATGGAAAGAAAAAAGAACCTGAGACCCAGAGACACCTATGCACCTTTTTTTGACTCTGTTACTATGTCAGCTGCCTGACCCTGACTAAGTTACTCAAGGCTTGAAGCTCTCAATCGTCTCCTCTTTAAAATAAGAATATACAGCCTCGCAGGCAAAAGGCCCTGGGTTCAATCCCCAGCACCAAAAAAAAAAAAAAAAAATATATATATATATATATATATACACACACACACACACACACACTCACACACAAAAAATATATATACACATATATATGTACATACACACATATATACACACACAAACTTCTTGGGATTCTTGGAAGTAATGAATGAAGTGATTTATGTAAAGTACCAAGCACAATGACAAACATATAGAAATTGCTTAATAAATGGTCACTGCTTCTTATTTTACTTACTTGAAACAATTATTCATTGCTATTTTTCCTCTACTTCCATTTCTAATGCTTTGCTGAACCCCATGGCTTATGATTCCAAAAAGAAAGATGAATAGATTCACACAAAGGTGAACCGAGACTCAGAGGTAAATGACTTCCCAGAGTCACACAGACAATGGCCATCAAACACATGACCACTATGACCTAGGTCTTCTTTGGGTTTTTGTTGTTGATGTTGTTGGCATGCTGGAGGTCAAAAACCCAGGGCCGGCTGCCTGCTAAGCATGTGCTCTACCATAGAGCCACACCCCCAGCCCTATATCTGGTTTTCCAATGAAGCACAACTTCCACCCTTTGCTATCCAAGTAGGATCCAGTGAAGGCCTTAATAGGTGCTGTGGAAGGACGACTGTGACAGTTTCCCAGTCTCCTCTTGTTTTTTGTCCTTTCTATGTATGCTTGTCTTATTCTCCCTAAAGTACAGCTCTGATTTTGTCATTCACTTGCTCAAAGTCTTTTATAATTTCTCATGGCTTACTGAATTCAGTACAAATCTATCAACCCATTTTTTAGGTTCCTGTCACCCCAGTTTATTACACACACACACACATATACTCATATATGCACATATCCTAATATAGTCTTAGATATACTCACGCATGTGAGTGTATATGTACATGTATACATATGTATTTATATGTGTGTATGTGCATATATTTGTGCATATATATATATTTATATATATATATATGTATGTGTGTGTATATATATATATATATTTATTTATTTATTTATTTATATATGCATGTTCTTTGCCACAACCAGAATGACCTGCGCACCTTTGTTCCTGCCCTTTCTTTTGCCGGGACACCTTCTGTGCCTCATTCTTGAGGCCTGCCTCTAATGCCATTTTTTAGGATCCTCCTCTGATCATCCTCCTGATGCTTCTCCTTTAGATTACCTAAGTATTTGATCTGTACTTCTTCTCATTACGTTCTGTTCTCCTGATAGCACACTATAGGGTTTATACTTGTCTTAGCCTTCCCAGACATCCATCTTCTTGATGCTAAAAAGAGTGTCTTAACACACATTTAACAAGTGCCTTGCAAATGGTATCTTAATTGTTGAATTGTGTTAAATTTACATACTCAATTCAAAATAATATTCAATTATATTTATACAAATAATTATAAAACAAAGTTATTGCTGCCAGTGAACATAACAAGGATCATTCCTAAGGGAAGAATTCACTTTTGACCCTGACGGTTGGCAAATTGATGCCTGTGGTATTAAATATATGGAAACTTGTATGCTCTGTTTAAGCATCAGTGATATTCCCTAAAGTGCATTTTGACTCTAATATTTAGGATTTGTTATTTTATTTCCTTAGGTGATGGTTTTATTAGATGGGTCTTTGGAATTTTGCTTTCCTTCCTGTGGGTATTAGCAACAAATGAAGTAAGAATCTGTATCATTTGCAAGAGAGATAGTCGTTCACTTGAGTCTGTCTGGAAAAAGCTTAACACTCTGATCTTTCAAAGCAAAGCAAGTGCCCCACTTTGTAGTGGAAGCAGTTTGCAGTCACACTCAGATAAACTTACTGTTGTCTCCATCTTTCATATTGAATTCTTCTGCGTAGCACTTGCCACCTTTTGACATACCAAAATACAGTTGTCTGTTTGTCTTAAATTCCTGTGGTGGAATTTAGGGTCCCTGAAGATAGAAATTTTTTGTTTCATTCATTGCTGTAGCCCTAACTCACAGAACAATTGACTAGCATGTAGTAGTCACTTAGTAAGTATTTGCATAACTAGCAGAGAAATTTGGCTTTGGGAATTCCTCCAATTTGTTAACTAAAACAGGTTTTGTTATTTTAAACATGAAGAAGTAAAGTTCAAGGCAGTTGACTTTACTGGCTAGGAAGAATAGAGTATATTTATATACTTTACTCAGGGTTTTACTTTTTTTTTTTTTTTTTCCTGTTTATTCTTGTAGGAAAGATTGAACTAAGGGCCTAGCCCATGCTAACTAAGCAAGCATTCTACCACAGAGCTGCATCCCCAGCCCTTTTTATTTTATTTTGAGACAGGGTCTTGCAAAATGGCCCAGGCTGGCTTTGAATGTGTGGGTCTCCAGCCTCAGTATTCCAAAAAGCTGGGATTATATAGCCACCACACCCAGACTACATTCATTTTCCTTGAGCAGCCTTGAATTTGCTATATTATTATTTAATTGAATGCAAATAAAAAGTCATTGCTACCATCATACCATACGTTGAAGATGATTGTGTCTCAGTCTAGCTAAAAACCTAAGAAAACTATTCTTTGGAACAAAGTCTAATGGAAGCTTGCTGACATGGCCTTAGGCATTAAAGACTCATAAGACCAAAATAGTAATAAGATTCGGTACAGGAGCATTATCCCTTTAAACATTTCACTTGTTTTTCTTAGATGCTGATTTTGACCCTGAAAATTGGTCAAATCAAGCTTCTGATGTTAATTTGGGGTTGTTATCAGTTTTCTGCATGTACTAGTAATTGGGTTTGAAATGTGTTTTAAGCCTGAATTAAAAGAACTTAGTCACTGGTGACTCATGGTGAGAAGTTTTTCCCTTTCTCTGCTGGAGCATATGCCATTGCCTCCAACATGCTTTTTTTGAAACATTGAAAACGTACAAATTCTTATTTTTATGTACTAGGTTCTGGAAAAGTTCTTTTTGGCTTAAAGCGGCAGCGTTCATTTCAATGCTTTTTAGTAGTAAGTGCTAATTACCATTGACTTTCCAAATTTCCATCCAAATTTCTTTAATCTCTGCTTTTATGAAAGTATTCTCATTATATACAAAGTCCTCAACCACCCACTACATGAATGACCACCACCAAGACTCAGTTTTGTTCATTATCATTTTCTAGTGTCTAGAACTGCGCTTTGGGCAAAGAAGGGAATAAGTATCTGAAGTCACATACATTCTTGATAATAGTGCACCTAGAAAAAAAAAATCAGGAAACCCTGTTAAAGTAGGATTTACTCCAGCCCTTGAATTGAGTAATCACCAATTCCTAACCAGCCTAGTTTGGGAAGCTCAAAGCTCTCAGCATTTCCAAGGTAGTTCTGTCTTTTCTGCTCCAAATGTTCCAAACATGGGTTGTGTCAACCTTCAAATCCCCTTTAGCGGATCACTTTTGGAAGCCTAGAGAGGCGCCGCCCATAGGCACTGCACCTGTGAGAGCCAATGGGCGGTGCGACAGGAAATGCTTCAGCTCACAGGGCTGATAGCAACGTGTGGCACCCTCATGCTCTTTTTATCTGCAGTTCCTTATTGTAGGAGGTTTCTGGAAGTTGCTTTTTTTTTTTTTAATAAATAATAAATATATAAACTTAAGAGAGAACTGTAGATTTGAAAGTTAAGATGTGAATGGTTATTTGCCTTTTCTTCACTACCAAGGAATTGGTGAGTTGTCCTTTCATTTCTGTTCTTTTTCTTTCTAACATTGTATCCTGTGAAATGTTACTCTAGCACATTGGGCAGGGGAGCAGAGAGTGCATAAATGTAAAATAATTGGAACTTAAACCGATATTGTTATCAATAACAGTAACCCATTCTGATTTTATATGCTACCACATCGGTAAACACTGATAAAATATCATAGATTTTTACAGGTGATTTGTTTACCTTGAGCAAGTTTTTCTCTTTTAAAGGGACTAGGAGGAAAGTTCTGGAAAAGGTTTTCAGAAAATTCTTTCCAAAATGTTGAAATATAAAGCTGCATAAAGTGCTGTTGGCGTTAACTGTCTGACCAGGAAGTACTTTAAGTCTCACTTACAAAAAACTAAGTGTCTATAATAACTTCCTTTCTCGGGATGAAGGTGCTTAATAGCCTAGTGGTGTTCTCATAACTTGAGTGTAGTTCAATTTTATTTTTCCTGTGAGTAAGAGGCAGCTGTTTAAAGAAAGCCATCTCTGGGGCAGACTTAATGATTGCAATGGCTAAATAAAGAATTTTTACAGTTTTTAATGTGTTGGATTGGAAATAATAGAACATGCATTTGAGAAGATTGACTGTGAGTAAGTGTAGTTGGAATTTTTACTTTCAGTGTTTTATTGTGAATATGGTTTGTGTGTAAGCATTGTGAATAAACAGGAGTAAACTCCCTGTTGAATTTCATGTGAATATTTATGGCCTTAACCCAAAGTCCCATTAGGCACAATCAGTCTTGAAAGGCATTGGATTCATATCCTCTATTTTAATTAGTAGCCTGATATTCTACAAGTGTCAATTTTTTTAAAAAATCAGGCTTTTAAAATTTTTCCTTTCTACTGGATAAGTAAGGTAAATGCTGAGTTGCCAATAAAATATCAAAATCTTAGCAGAAGACTCCTTTAAACAAAACAATTTTTAAATGTTAAAGGTTCATCTTTATTAGATGGATACAGTTTATGCTAATGAATGATATTATTACTTTAAAACGTATTTCAAAATTAAGCCTCTCAAAATGGCCAACTATCCATCCTAGAGATCTTTAAAAATATTATAGTTAATATTTGTATTCTCTCACAGAAAAAAAGAAAACAGGAGAGAAAGCAATTTCTTGACTATAATACCAAATTACATTCAAAAACAGACAAAAAGATCAGAGCATCTACTCATATTTACTTTGTTTTGTAATTTTTTATCATTTTAATACATAGGGTCAGTTACTAAAGTATAAAATATTGTATATGATTATAATGCACCAATAAAACATGTGGAAAGTGGGGGGAAGTATGAAAATAAAATAGCCATGAGGAGACCAGCTTTGCTAGGCTCTTTGAACAAAGTTTAAATGAAATGTGTAAGCTAACGTAACCCTGATGTCCAGACTCCTGATATTTTACATACTGTATGTGTAAATTAGCTCTTAACATTATACATAGGATGAGTTTTTCATTCAGCCGTCATTACAGTGGCTGCTACTCATTGGGAGGGGGAGGAGCTGTCTAATACATAAAAAAGGAAATTTAACATTTCCAATAATCCTTGAAATGTGGAGCAGGTAGCATGTGCTTTTTCTCTCAAGATTTATGACTGTCAAAGACTGAACAGTACAAATTATATCAATTTCGGTTTTCCTAGAGAGAGGGGCCTTTTGTGGTCATCTGAATGTTAGACTCCCAGGCCAGAGGATCCCAGTCATAGTTTGGGTGGGGGTGGGGCAGGGGCAGAGGAAGTGGGTGGTGCTTCACAGTGACAGATTATTGCAGATTATCTGGCTGCCTGCCAAAAATGCCACCAGTCAAGGGAAAAGTGGAAGTTACTAACTGCATCCTATTAATTTGTGCATGTTTATTTAACCAGTCCTAACAGTTTCCTGGTTGCATACGCTCCTGAGTGACTTGACATATGCTTAATCTTATGTTCTCTAGTTTCCCGTGGTCATATTCCTTATCTCTGGTCTGCAAAGATCATACTGACCCTTTTGTGGAAGGCCACGTGTTAGCTGAAAAAAGAAGGGGGAGGGGAGGCAGAATTTAAAACCACAGCTGCTTTATTGTTTATTTAAGAATGTTGCAGAACTAAGATGTAAGGATGTCCCATCACATTTAGACTATTACAGAAAATACTCAAAAAAAAAAAAAATGATCCTCTCCTGTGAAGGAGTAAGTAGCTCTAGATTGTTCTGGTTCAGTTAGAAATTGATATTCTTACTGTTGCAACATAAAAGGAAGCTTTGTGGAGGAAATATGACATCTGTGCCCAGATGCATAAGGAGGGAATTACAGTGGAGAGTTATTTTTAGAAGTGTCTTATGAATATATTTTTTGTACTGAGAAGTGCCTTTAGAAGGTTAGTTTACTGGCAGGAGTTACACAAGTTGCTCAGGTCACTGAATAATCTAAGAAAATACTTTTAAAAGAATTATCATGTCACCAACTAGCCTAGTTCATCTACTAATTTAAGTAGCAGCATTGTTTTATTTAGTTATTTTTTGGTACTAGCGATTGAACCAAGGGGCACTTAATCCCGGAGCTACATTCCTAGCCCTTTTTGTTTTTTATTTAGAGGCAAGGTCTCACAGAGTTGCTTAGGACCTCGCTAAATTATTGAGGCTGTCCTCCTGCCTCAGCCTCCCAGGTTGCAGGGATTACAGATGTGCACCACTGTACCTGACATTGTATTTTTTTTTAATATAACCAAACTGAGGATATGGAGATTCTGTGGATATCATCAAATAGTATACGTCATATAAATTGTTCCACTGAAAGAAGGGCCTGTACAACTCCCAATTCATAGTGAGGTCCCACTGCTCTTCCTGAAGAGAGTGCAGTGTTTTCAGCTGAAGGAGCCAGGCAGCCTACCATTTGTGTCACTGACAACACAGCTCTTGGATCTGGTGCCCCTCTCTAACCTTACACGGTGACAGCATGCCCAGCTTCCTTATATTTCCTACTTTTGGTTTTGATCACTTATATTTGGAGTTGGCACCATAACAACTTACAGGAGCAGGACAGATGAATGTGTCTGCCATCTGCTAGTTTATGACCTTGTACAGATCCTTTAATGTCCTTGAAACCTCAGTTTCTTCAACTATTAAGTGGACATTAACCACAGCGTCCACCTTACACAATTGCTGCAATGATTAAATGAAATAATGTGTGGAAAGCACAAAGTTGGTCACACGTGACAAAGGAGTGATAATGGTGATGTTCCCTGTTGTTCTTTTTGGCTATTCCAATCCTCTTCCGTGGCTCCACCAGGAAATGATCATGAGCAGAGAGATAATAACACATGAAACATGCACAGGCCATAGAATCAGTGTTATAATGACAGAAAAATTCAGCAAATACCGCAGGACCACATGAATGACATCCACTGAGTGAGCCATTCCTCTAACTATATTTTGTGCTGCCCATCCTAAGGGGGTGGCAGAAAAGGGGCCATTGGCTGTAGATTTAATAATGATTAGTCAAAATGGTTCCATGGTCCAACATATTTATCTTTAGCAACATTTTTCTCTTTCACTTAAGAGAATTTCCTCCCGGTTGGATAGAACTCAGGAAATCGAAGTGGCAAATTGTTGATTTTCTTTTTAAATTCATTTTTCCTAGGGTATGTGCATGTTTGTGTATTCATTTTCTTCTGAGCAGACCACTATCAGAAAAAGTTAGGACTGTGTCTTAAGATCAGCTAAAAAAGACAAGTTTTTGTTCTTTGCCTTGGTGAAACCAGACCACAGAGAATATATATTTGAGCATAAAGAAGAATGTTTTTCTGTTTCTGCTCTGCGTCTCTAGGGGTTCACTGTCCTGTGATGGGTCAGCTAACTTCATTCATGAATTGAAAACAATACAGCTAATTCTTACATAAGCAAATTTTTATGGAACGTGTTAGCAAAGCAGATGTAAAATTTGAGGGACACCTGCAATAAATTGAATAAACCAAACACTGAAACTGCCTCTATCCTACTTGAAAGATGTTTAGCCTTTGTGAACATATTTCTAGGGCTTGAAGTTTCTGGGTGTTAATCTGTAGCCTAACCCTTCTGCCCTGTGGCCTGCTCCTGAATTAGTCTGTCTTTTCCCCGTTTCTGGTAGCCCCTAACTTTATATTCGCAACATTGCCACCTAGATACCCTGTGTGTTTGGGTCCCTGTCCTAAAGCTCCCTCAAGATCCTTCTTTACACCTCCTTCCAGTGGGCCACTCCCCTGTGCAGGGAGCTTCAGTGGCTGGCGGTTTTCCACTACATTACATCCACCTCCTTCTGTCTTAACTGTCAACACCCTTCCTAATCTGTCCCCACACTGTTCATCCCGCTTCATTTCCTGTATACTTGGACCCATCCTTGCTGGTCTCTGAAGTCAGCCTCTCAAACATGGAGTCTCTCAAACTTGGAGTCTGTGCTTTTGGTGCTGCTATTTACTGGATCCAAAAAGCCCTCCTCCGGAGAACCTCTGCCTGCTCCTTTCCTTCAAGACCCTGTGACAAGTTCACTTTCTGTTTGAAGCCTTCCCTATTTAATCTCTTACTGTTTTTGCTGCAAACTCCCAGGGAATTTTTAAAAAATATTTTGTTGGTTGTCCATGGATCTTTATTTATTTATATGCAGTGCTGAGAATCGAACCCAGCGCCTCACACATGCTAGGCAGGTGCTCTAGCACAGAGCCCCAGCCCCTGCCCTGCAAACTCTCAGGTGATTTTTTAATTGCACAAAGCAATGAACAAAAATGTGTGTGGCGTCGTATATTATTCGCTATTATATCTTCACTCATGTAAAGATTTTGAATATAGGGCCTTATCTTACAGTTATAACTTTCACAGTTCCTATCATTGGTATCTACCATTTGAAGGGAAAGAAGACAAAGTAGATTTATTCCATCATGTCTACCGAAATCAAGTCAGTAATCCTGGTGATGCTGAAGGGATCGGATATTTTTCCAAATGGGGCCAAGTTTAATATAAAGGAAAATGATT